AAAAAAAAAAAAAGTGGATGTATAGCTTTAACGTACATGTCTATTTCAGTTTCAGACAGCTGCAGGTGTTACCACAAACTCATTATGTCCTAATTTGACTGTTACCTATATCAGGTTTGGTGATTCATCTGCACTTCAAAGGCAACACCAATACAGACAGAGATGAATATCAGTTTAAACTAGAACTGTGCTAGAAATTATTCTTGGAACATCAAAGCACAGTGACAACCTAAGCTTAGTAAGATGAGGAGATGCGTCTTAACAACTTTTTACTTTTATTTGCACAATGAAATTAGCACAGCAACACACAAAAAAATCATCTGAACTGATTCAATGGTTAGTGTATATATAAATAAAATTGTGATGTATAAAACAAGTTGAGAAACATATATCTTAGTGTCTCAGTGCTCCATTTGTTAAATACGTTTCTCTCTGCTTCATGTTTTTGTACAGCGTAGCTTTGTTTCCTGTGACTGTGGGCCTCAGAGCGCAGTAGTACACAGCAGAGTCTGTCACTGCAGCAGAAGAGATCTCCAGATCTACTCGTTTTGTGTTTTTATTAATTCTTGGTGTTAAGCGCTGTGGTATGTTGTCACTCATCAGCCCACTTTCATAGATGTAGAGGAGGAACTTTGGTGTAGATCTGGGATATTGACGGTACCAGTGGAGATTATCAGGTGCTCCACTGTAGTTACATGTGAGTGTTACATTTTTACCTTCTAAAACTTGTTTTTGTGAGTCATGCGACATTATCATGTTTGTCAGGATGTTACCTATGAGAATCAAAAATAAATAAATGACATAAACAAGAAGACGACATAAAATCAGAATCACAATCTCTTCATTAATTGAAGTCATAAATTCTGAGAAATGAATCAGAACTCACCTGTATGAAGAACCAAAATGAGAAAGACAGGAAGGCACATGTTGGTTGATGCTCTGACAGAGTGACAGTGTTCCACATTAGAAAATAAGCCAAGTCAAACTAATCTTAGAGCTCCACCTCTTGACACATTGCTGTACCCACTGTGAGAAAAAACAAAAAAACATTGACACTCATGATTGTACTGTTGCAGTTCTTATTTATATATGACATGAGTTGATGCACAGACACTATGGTCAATATGGCTTTGACATGACGTGGCATGAGAGTAAACCTTTTAGTGACTAAGCACTAAAAATATTCACACTGTAGCCTATATAATTAAGAGACATGCAATATATTGAAATATATTTTGTGTAAACAAACAAGAATTAGGGAAGAACAATGTAAAAAAAAAAAATAATAATAAATGCACTTGCAAAAATTTGTCTTCACCTATTCAGACTAGTTCTAAAGAGCTATGCCCTAAAAATTAAGTAATTGGAGACTTAATTCTGCAGTGAGGATATAGATATTATTTGCATGTATCAAACATTTTTAAATGTTTGCTGGTCTATCTGAAATTGATGGATTATGAATAAAATCTCTAACCTGATCTCACAGAAAAACCTAGCAATTTTACAAGGTGGTGATTTCTTATGAATGCATATGATGTGAATTGTATGAAAATGTGTCATTTTTAGAAAAACGTAAGCATGAAAGCCCTTCCTTTGCCCCACTGCTACATTTAATAGTCACTGATGCAAATGAGATTGAGAAATAAGATTAATATGAATTAATCGCGAATGCATACGAATTAGCCACTAA